GAACCAACTGGACGTTTCTGATTTTAGGTGGAGTACTAGTCCTGGGGACTAAAACTTAGAAGAGTGTTTGCAAGTTAACAGAGTGATATCATAGCATGCCTTTGAGAAATGCAAACTCATTGATGATAGTATGAAATTATACAATAGCAGCCGTATATGTTATGCTACTTTCCAGCAACATGAATTTTTGAAATGGCATTGCATACCCTTTTTTTTTTTTTTTGAGATGGAGTCTTGCTTTGTCACCGAGGCTGGGGTGCGTGGTGTGATCTCGACTCACTGCAAGCTCTGCCTCCTGGGATCACACCATTCTCCTGCCTCAGCGTCCCGAATAGCTGGGACTACAGGCGCACACCACCATGGCCGGCTAATTTTTTGTATTTTTAGTAGAGAGGGTGTTTCATCGTGTTAGCCAGGATGGTCTCAATCTCCTGACCTCGTGATCCACCCGCCTCAGCCTCCCAAAGTGCTGGGATTACAGGCGGGAGCCACCATGCCCGGCTGCATACCTTTTTAATAAAGATAATTTTTTTTTTTTTGAGAAGGAGTTTTGCTTTTGTTGCCCAGGCTGGAGTGCAATGACACCATCTCAGCTCACTGCAACCTCTGCCTCCCGGGTTCAAGTGATTCTCCTGCTTCAGCCTCCAGAGTAGCTGGGATTACAGGAGCCTGCCACCACGCCCAGCTAATTTTTGTACTTTTAGTAGAGACAGGGTTTTACCATGTTGGCCAGGCTGATCTCGAACTCCTAACCTCAAGTCACTCACTTCCTTGTCCTCCCAAAGTGCTGGGATTTCGGGTGTGAGCCACTGTGCCTGGCTGGGTCATTTTTGATGTCCTAAAGTTCTCTTGTTCTCTTCACATAGATCTGGCTTATTTCTCAAAATATTATAAGCATGTATGTGTATTTATATCTAGAATTTATTTTTTGACTATGATGAATGGGAATTTTTTTCCCTTTTAGACTTTGTTTTGTAAACGTTTTGTCTTAGTTGAGGTTCTTATGGTAGCAATTTACAGAAATACATTCAGATTCTTAGGCCTAAAAAAAAAACAAAACAGAAAAAGCGGGGGAGAATTCTCTGGAAGGCAGCCAAGGCCTCCCCTACAGGCCAAGGGTAGAAAGGAGAGTGGGCCTCACAAGGGGGAGGGAAACAAGAACTATTAAGTCTCCTGTTGCTTTCCCTTAGCAGATCTATTTTTCTCTTCCTCTGTAGTTCAGCTTTCTCTGCTTCTGCCTTTGTCCCACTTCCAAGTTTCTGAGAAGCAAAGGGATACAGAGCAAATCTGGCTACAGGGGCTACCCATATAGGTGGAGCAATTCTCAGAAAATAACTATGGGTTGAAAAGGCACGGCTGAAACGGATTTCAAGACACTGCAATGTCAGGGACTTCAAAAGTCAAAAGTATCTGTTTCTTGCCCAAGAGGGGCAGAGTTGGCAGTTACCGTTTGGGAGAATCTGCCCTCCTAAGTTCCAGATGATTAATAAACAGGGACTGACAATCGTCAGGTTATAGGATTAACACGTCAACAAAATATACTGAGCTCTTACTCTGACTTTGTATTTGCATACTAGTTAGCTGTTGCAGGGGCTGAAAAGGTGTGATACCTTTCTTCCTCACCATAAGGGTCAGAGCAGACACTCGTATAACAAAAGATAGGTTAAGAGAAAAACTTAAAATAAACTAAGAAGTTTATTTAATCAAAGTTTTACATGACATAGCCTTCAGAAATGGCTACCCAAACAGCCAGGGAAAACTGTTTCTAATGCTTAGATTCTATGAAGAATGGACAGTCTGGAGTAATGTGGTTGGGCAAAAAGTGTGCCACTTAATAGTAACAGACAGCAGGGGGAAACCCAACAAGGCCTTTCTGTGTAGTATTCCTTCCTCCCAGGTATAAGGCAGGATCTCTTCCAAAATGAGGGTCTTAGGGGCCTACTATCAGATAAGGTAGGCCAGATAAGTTCTTTATGGCCAGATTTTTTTTTTTTTTTTTTTTTTTTTTTTTTTTAATGGAGTTTCCCTCTTATTGTCCGGGCTGGAGTGCGATGGCATGATCTTGGCTCACGGCAACCTCTTGTCTGCCGGGTTCAAGTGATTCTCCTGCCTCAGACTCCTGAGTAGCTGGGATTACAGGCATGCACCACCACGCCAGGCTAATTTTGTACTTTTAGAAGAGACAGGGTTTTTCCCTGTTGGTCGGGCTGGTCTCCAACTCCCGACCTCAGGTGATCCACCAGCCTCGGCCTCCCAAAGTGCTGGGACTACAGCCATCACGCCTGGCCACAGCCAGCTCTTACATAGAAAGGTGGGGGAAGTTTAGGTTTTATGGCTGGCTTTGCAGGAGAGGGCTTCTAGTTTCTATGACTCATCTTGGGGAAGAGGAATTCTGGTTTCTATGGCTTGCCTTGGGGGAGAAAGGCGGCTGGGAGACAGGAGGGCAGAAGGTCAGGGAGACTGTGCCTGAGGCTTCCAGTATCTTTTCGTTCAAAATAGTCAGCATGCCAAAGCGCCATATTTTGGTGTATTGTTTTTCTGAGCTCCAACACTGCTTCGGATGTATCTCCACTTACTTTATTTAACCTAAAAGGCTTTCCGCTCAGACCACAAGTAGTATGCCATGAATGCAATTATTTTATTTAACCTAAAAGGCTTTCAGCTCAGAGCACAAGTAGTATGCCATGAATGCAAAATTGTGTGGTTCAAATATTCAAAATATTTGCCATTTCAAGTATTTTGTCTTTAGAAAATAAAATCTTTCAAATCTGGCAACTTGGGATCAAGATGACTATGACCCTATTCCTCCTTTCAACTGGCTTATGATTCATTTTGATTTTCCTCTGTAGAAACGGGGCACTTCATGAAAGAAACTTTCCCTGAAAACCAGGAATTCTGTAAAAGACCTTTTTGCTAATCTAGTTCAGTAGTTGACAATAGCATCTGACGGGGAGCCTGGTGAAAGCTACCATGAGAATTCGGAAGCAGGAAACTTTCGCAGTCCTGGCGCTACTGGTTACTAATTGAACGACCTTCGCAAGTAACCTAGCTTCTGTGAACCTGTTTTCTCATTTTCAAACGCGGTTGAATAACTACTTTTCAACTAGGATGTTATGAAAGGTAATAGGGTAAAGACAAAGGACTAGGTTCGCGTGGAGCCCAGTACTGCTGAAGGAAAGATACACGAGTTTCGAGGGAGACTAAGGAAAAGAAGCAAAGGACCCCAGAGGTGATATCCTTGGTAGCCTCAGCTTTTACACGATCTAAGTCCATCCTACGGCGGACACGCTCTCCTTTCACTGGAAAATGACTGTTTGCTTCGAAATAATTTTTCTCTAACAGAAAGCTCCATTTCTCTAAACTTGGCTTCCCCGCGCAGTTTGCAAACGAGTCAGGGTTTCCTCAATGGCGCGATAGGCTCGCCGAAAGCCAAGCGAGAGTCCCACGCTGCGCAGGGCGGGGGAATAACGGGGACCCAGATACGGGACACTTAGCCCAGGACGCCACCGTACCCACAACCGCGGAGAGACCGCCCCTCCCGAGCCAGCCCCCGCACCGCCCCTTTTCGATTCGTTTGCATGACCTAGGGCGCGGTTTCCGGCGGCAGAGGCGTGTTTTCCGGTCGTCCCTTGGCTAGATTTTCTTCCGGGGAGGGACTTCCTTTCCATCATTGATAGGCGCCGCGCAGCTGAGCTGGTAGGAGGACCAAACGGGGAGGGTCGGTATGTCTGACCAGGGCTTATGTTCCTCCAAAGGGCGGCCAGGAAGATGCTCTTCCTCGCTCTTCTTTCTCGCCTTTTTCTCTGCACGACGCCTCGGTTTGCGTGGACGCCCTGGGCTTTTGGCACTACCGCCCACCTGAGGCTCTTCCGCTTCCTCTTTCCCCCAGGCTCCGCCCCCTAGCGTCCCGTGGCCATGACGACCGCTCAGCGGGACTCCCTGGTGTGGAAGCTCGCGGGGCTGCTGCGGGAGTCCGGTGAGTGGACTTCCGGTTGAGCTGGGCCTCGGACGAGGTGGGGGTGGTGCCTTCTGGAGACATGCCCTGAGAGTCACGGAGTTACGACTGGTAGGGTCACCAGGTGTCAGAGTTCAATTTCTTTACTATTTCCAGATTTGTTCGCCCTTACAGGGGGCCTTTGCCTGTGATAGCCCAAACCCTAGCCGTCCTTTGAGGCCAAACTCCGGTATCCCTCCCTCCGTGCCTTCTCTGACACTGTCAGAAGGAAGTGATCGTTACCTGACTGAAAGCTCCTCAGGACCAGGGACTGATATCGATCATAATCATTGTCGTGTAGCAAGATACTAAGTACAGTAGATGGAAGCACGAGATTTGGAGTCGGACCCACCTGGGTTGGAATATCAACCCTCTTTCAAACTTGCCAAACTGTTTCCTGAGGCTCAGTTTTCCTCACGCATTGCCATAATGATTGTACTTAACAGTTGTGGGGATTCGTTGTAATTCATGTATTTAGTACAATGCCTGCAAGTATAGTAACTGCTTACAGTTGGGAGCTATTGTTATTGTAATGACTTCCCTGGTTGTTGGCACTGTGCCTGGGCACAGTGGAGCCACAGTAGTTGTTGAGTACTTGGTTGGCATTAATTGTGGTAGAAAAAGCCTTAGCTTTGAGATCAAATAGGAGAAGTAACTTCCTGCCAATTATATGATCTCAATCAAGATTTTTCACTTTTTTGAACCTCAATTTTCATATCTGTAAGATGGGGGTTAACAGTGCTCTTTGGGAGATTCTGAGAAAGTTTGAATGAGATATCAAAGTCATCTGGTACATACTACAGTTAATGGTAGCTGTCCTCCATCACTCCATGCTCCCATTGATGATATCTGTGGAAACTCTCTTTCTAGCAGCTTTCTTTTCTTTCTTTTCTTCTTTTCGAGACAGAGTCTTGCTGTGTCACCTAGGCTGGAGTGCAGTGGCGCAATCTCAGCTCACTGCAACCTCCACCTCCCGGGATCAAGTGATTCTCCTGCCTCAGCCGCCTGAGTAGCTGGGACTACAGGTGTGCACCACCATGACCGGCTAATTTTTGTATTTTTAGTAGACACGGGGTTTCACCATGTTGGCCAGGTTGGTCTTGAACTCCTGACCTCAAGTGATTAACCTGCCTTGGCCTCCCAAAGTGCTAGGATTAAAGTCGTGAGGCACGGCACCTGGCCAGTAGCAGTTTCATTTCCTGGCTTATATTGATAACTTTGCAAATGTCTTATATCCTTCTCTGGGAGGAGACAACTAGGAGGCCCTTTGAGCGTGGGAAGAGTCCTTGAACCATGTCTGTATCCATCCTCAGTGTCTAGTACATACAGAATCCTTCATGTCAGGTTGTAGGACTTGTTAATTTATTCAGCGATGAATGGTGGGTGTGTGAATGTGTGACTACAAGGAGGTAGCAGGAGAAGAGCTTTGTGGCAGCAGAATAGTTTCGTATCTTGATTGCGTGGCTGCAAGAATTTATATAAACAGCATATAGCTATATATACATATTGTACCAACATCAGTGTCTTGATTTTTTTTTTTTTCTTTTGAGACCGAGTCTCGCTCTGTCACCCAGGCTGGAGTGCAGTGATGTGATCTTGGCTCACTGCAACCCCCGCCTCTCAGGTTCAAGTGATTCTTCTGCCTCAGCCTCACGAGTAGCTGGGACTACAGGCGTGTGCCACCATGCCCTGCTAATGTTTGTATTTTTAGGAGAAACAGGGTTTCAGCATATTGGCCAGGCTGGTCTTGAACTCCGGACCTCATGATCCACCTGCTTTGGCCTCCCAAAGTGCTGGGATTACAGGCGTGAGCCACTGTGCCTGCCCTTTTTTTTTTTTTTTTTTTTTTTGAGATGGAGTTTAGCTCTGTCACCCAGGCTGGAGTGCAATGGCTCAATCTCGGCTCAGTGCAACCTCTGCCTCCTGGCTTCCAGCTGTTCTCCTGCCTCAGCCCCTCGAGTAGCTGGGATTACAGGTGCGTGTCACCATGCCCAGCTTAGAATATTTGTATTTTTAGTAGAGACGAGGTTAGAGTCCTAGAATAATTTTTTGTATTTTTAGTGGAGATGGGTTTCACCATGTTGGCCAGGTTGGTCCTGAGCTCCTGACCTCAAGTGATTAACCTGCCTTGGCCTCCCAAAGTCCTGGGATTATAGGCCTGGGCCACGGCGCCCAGCTCAGTGTCCTGACTCTGATATTGTACTATAGCTATATAAAATGTAACCATTAGGGAAAACTGGGTAAAGGATATAGGGGACCTTTCTGTACTGTTTCTGCAACATCTTTTGACTGTATCTATACTTATTATATTTTTTAAGCCAAAAAAAATTCCTTCATGCCTAGCTTGTAGCTGCACTTTTTTAGGTGCAGTGATGAATACCAGGGTGATCAAAAGATGTCCTCAAGGATGAAAGTCTCATTAGAGAGAGCATTTTTAACAGACAGCAGTAACAATGCCTTAGTGCTGTAACGAATAGTTATTCTTTCTATGGCATACTTTTTAGTATTGCTTGAAAGTTTCTACAGATGTGCTTTGCAATCAGAAAATGAAATAAAGATAAGACATCCAATTAACTTTTATGTAATAATGAGTGACTGCAATGTGAAAATTCAGCAGTATTACTTCTTGAGGCAGCTTCCTGGAGGAGGCTGGTCTCAAGCTGGGTGGTGGAAGGGGGTGTTTCAGAACATGAGAGAACTGTGAACCAAGTTGGCTGTATTTCCAGCACTGTCAGTAGATGAAGCTCTTTTGAGCAGAAGGTGAAAGAAAATTTGGAAGAGTTGGTTGGAGTTGTGTAGCCAAGCAGTCTCATTAGGCTGAATGAAATCGTAGGACTTTTTTTTTTTTTTTTTTTTTTTTGAAGATGAGGGGAGCCATTGAATGCTTTTGAGCTGTGAAGGAGATAGAAAATTTGATCCTGCAATAGAACATCTACAATATGGATTGGAGTGGGTATATTTTGGCATAGCAGAGTCTTAGAATAAAGGGAAACATCTTTTCACTGTGTCTTCCCTCCTGTCTGCCCCTCTTTCTGCAGGGGATGTGGTCCTGTCTGGCTGTAGCACCCTGAGCCTGCTCACTCCCACACTGCAACAGCTGAACCATGTATTTGAGCTGCACCTGGGGCCGTGGGGCCCTGGCCAGACAGGCTTTGTGGCTCTGCCCTCCCATCCTGCTGACTCTCCTGTCATCCTTCAGCTTCAGTTTCTCTTCGATGTGCTGCAGAAAACGCTTTCACTCAAGGTTCTGGGTGTGGGGAAGGGGCAGGATGTGCAAGGAGCCCAAGAGAATGATGGACGTTGGGGGTAGGGTAGGGGTGCGAAAGTCTGCACTGCCAGGATCCAGAGGGTGTCAGAGGTACCAGTGGTTGTGCTAAGAAAGGAATGTTGAGGACAGGGAGATCTGCTGTGCCTCAGTAAATGGAGTTATTTATTTATTTTTTTTCTTCAGCTGGTCCATGTTCCTGGTCCTGGCCCCCCAGGGCCCATCAAGATTTTCCCCTTCAAATCCCTTCGGCACCTGGAGGTATGGGGACACGGGGGGATGTTGGTGCACAGCACCCAACTTGAGGCCGCCCCTGGGGATAGGAAAGAGAAGGGCCTCTTTGGTGAGGAGGCCAGGCCTGAGTATACCCATTGCTCTTCAGTAATGTGATATCCACTGTCTTTCCATTTACTGCTTCCCTAAACCATAGCTGGGCTTTGTGGTCTTCTCCCTCCTCCCAACTAGGAGATATGGGGATGAGGTCTTTGTCTTCTGTGGGGTTCTGCCTTCCTCCCTCCCCTTTCCTTGTCCCAGCTCCGAGGTGTTCCCCTTCACTCTCTGCATGGCCTCCGAGGCATCTACTCCCAGCTGGAGACCCTGATTTGCAGCAGGAGCCTCCAGACATTAGAGGTAAGGAGGGTGAGGGGTGAGCTCAGACGCCTCATCCTGAGAGACGTAGAGGACCGAGCTCTGATATTCTTCCCTCTCTGCAGCTCTCCCTGCCTCCTGCTTCCTGCTAGACAGTGTCCTCCCTCCCTCTCTGTGTTCCCGCAGCACTCAGTACCTGCCCATATATTTACAGTCGTACCTACCGTATTACATTACATATTCTAGTGTCTACCTTCCCACTCTCCCCACAGTGAGTTCTTGGGTCAGGGACCTGGGCTTTAAGCCTGTATCTTCAGATGGAGTTCAGTGTATAAAAAATGAATGAGTGACTGGGTGGTAGAGCTTGGCCTTGGCATGGGGAGGAGGGGGAGAGTGGGGTAATGAAGCACCCATCCGCCCACTCAGGAGCTCCTCTCAGCCTGCGGTGGTGACTTCTGCTCTGCCCTCCCTTGGCTGGCTCTGCTTTCTGCCAACTTCAGCTACAATGCACTGACCGCCTTAGACAGCTCCCTGGTGAGTGCCTTGAGAGGGTTTCGAGGAAGGGCAAGGCCAGGCCTTTGGGGAGGAGGACCAGCTGGTTGACCAGATAGTATTGTAGTGAACATCGATTCTCTGCCTCTTTCCCATCTCTCTCAGCGCCTCTTGTCAGCTCTGCGTTTCTTGAACCTAAGCCACAATCAAGTCCAGGACTGCCAGGGATTCCTGATGGTGAGTATGGGCAGTCTGGCAGCTGGTACACCATGGGTCTTTGATTGCTCTGTTCTCACTCTCTCTCCTTGACCGGCTTTTACTCCCACCTTGCTCTTGCCATGAGGGTGGAGCTGCATTCTGGGAGATAGCACTGCTTAGGCACTAGCATCAGACAAACCAGAGTTCAAATCTCAACTTCTAATACCTGTACAACTTGGAGCAAGTTAGTTACCTCTTGGTTTCTTTACCTGTAAAATAGAAATCACAAGAGTGCCTGCTTTTTTTTTTTTTTTTTTGAGATGGAGTCTTGCTCTGTCACCCAGGTTGGAGTGCAATGGTGCAATCTCAGCTCACTGCAACCTCTGCCCCTGGGTTCAAGCAATTCTCTTGCCTCAGCCTCCCAAGTAGCTGGGACTACAGGCACGTGCCGCCACACCTGGCTAATTTTTATATTTTTAGTAGAGACAGGGTTTCATCATGTTGGTCAGGCTGGTCTTGAACTGCTGACCTCAGGTGATTCACCCACCTCGGCCTCCCAAAGTGCTGGGATTACAGGTGTGAGCCACCACGCCTGGCCAAATACCTGCTTGTATAGTATTAAAATGATTGTGAAGAAGTACCCGATGTTGCTTAGTCTAGTGCCTAACTCAGAAACTGGCAGCTTTTGTGATCATGACGAAGAACCTTTCTTCTGGGTCCTCCCATCCACCTGTCAGAGATAAAGCCGAGCTAGTTAAAGTGGTAACGACAGATTTTTATCAGTGATAAACTATTGCAGCGGGGAGGAGGGTGCAACGTAAACTGAACGCCACTTTAATTTGTGCAGAGGTGACTGGGCATTTTAAAAGGAGAGCGAGGGAATAGGAAGGGGAACTGTGAGGGTTTGAGCAGGGTAAGGGAAGTGGAAATGTACAAAAAGCAGAAGTGGAGGTTGGACCACATGAAGCCCTTCCGGGTTTGCTAAAAGTTAGGCTTCTACCTTCCCACAAAGACTGGGAGACGGGAGCCCTGTCATCAGGTGTTGGCTGGAACAAATGGGAAATTCTTTTGGCAGCCTTGACTTTTCCCAGGCAGGAACTTAAGGGGGCTAGAGTCGCCATTCTAGGGATGTATCCATATGTTAGAACTTTGCTGTTTTTGTTAAAGTTTTTTACTGTGGGGGTTGGAGGAGTCAAAAAAATCCTTTGTGTTGAATTTTGTTGAACTTGTGCTAAACAAGTCTGCAGTTCTTAACAGGCCGAAGTTGAGGCCTAGTCAAAAAGAAGGCCCAGAGGAGCCCAAGTAGGGTTTGATCAAGGTGAGAATCTTTGTCAGTCCCTCCTCTAATTCGAGGAAAGAAGAGACACTCCGCCTTCCCCCAAACAATATAAATCCTTTTCTTCCTTGATCACTTCCTTTTGTTCACTAAAAACCAACTGAGCCATTCGTTGGTACTTGGTAGGAGATGAGTTTTGCTGGATGGTGCGAGTGACCGGGCATTTAATGGTAGACATTTCTATGGAAACAAAAAGGAAAACAAAGATGAATGGTTGAAAGAGACTGTAAATCCATTTTCTGAGTCCAGAGGGCAGCCAGTTGAGATTTCTAGGTGTTGAGCTCTATGTTTCTTTAGCTGGTGGAATGAGGATAGCGGTGGCAACTGATGGCTTTCTTGGTTTGTAGTTTGAATGTTTGTGGTGACGGCATAGACAGTGTTGCAGTCATGCTTATTTCCCTGAACAGAGTCTGGAAGATACAGGAGTGTCAGTGGACTTTCTTTTTTTCTTTTCTTTTTTTTTTTTATGAGATGGAGTTTTGCTCTTGTTGCCCAGGCTGGAGTGCAATGGCGTGATCTCGGTTCACCGTCACCTCCGCCTCCTGGGTTCAAGCAATTCTCCTGCCTTAGCCTCCCGAGTAGCGTCTACCACCACACCCAGCTAATTTTGTATTTTTACAAATAAAAGTGAAAGATGGGGTTACAAGTAAAGATGGGGTTTCTCCATGTTGGTCAGGCTGGTCTCAAATTCCTGACCTCAGGTAATCTGCCTGCCTTGGCCTTCCAAAGTGTTGGGATTATAGGCGTGAGCCACCGCACCCGGCCTCAGTGGACTTTCTAAGAGGCTCATATCACAGTAGCTCCAGGCATGTAGGTTATCCACACGTGATCTGTAGATGATGTATCTTTTGAAGTTCATATCACCTAGTCCAACTTTAGCTCATAGGGCTTTTGTTAAGATCCTGGGGGAGGCCTGGCGCAGTGGCTTATGCCTGTAATCCCAGCTCTTTGGGAGGCCAAGGTGGGTGGATCGTCTGAGGTTGGGAGTTCGAGACCAGCCTGACGCCAACATGGAGAAACCGCATTTCTACAAAAATGCAAAATTGGCCAGGTATGGTGGTGCATGCCTGTAATCCCAGCTACTTGGGAAGGCTGAGGCAGGAGAATTGCTTGAGCCCGGGGAGCAGAGGTTGCAGTGAGCAGAGGTCACGCCATTGCACTCCAGCCTGGGCAACGGGAGTGAAACTACGTCTCAAGAAAAAAAAAAAAAGATCCTTGGGGGAAAGGGCAGCTATAAGTCACCTAAAATTCCACTAAGGATCTGGGCACTCAGGTTTTAGTTCTCAGTGATGCCAAGTTGGGAGGAAGAAAATTGGAAATGTTAGTTTAGAAAATTGCAGCCAAATAATGAAGAAAACGAGAAGAATTGAGACTTTGGTAAGGGCTGATGTGTAGGATAGCAGGACCCATTCCAGTTGACAGGTAGATAATACAACTTCAAAGAAAATGAACAGGACTAGAATCTGGTAACCCATAAGGATGTATTAATAGTTTTTTCATTAAAGCAGATTTCTCTAAGGTCACTCCCCTTTTGATTAAAAACAGTGAAAGTAGGATTATTCTTTTTTACAGAATAAGTCTGATCCTGTTAGATCTGGTCTGCTTATTTACATAAGTGTAGTAAGAAAGGTAATTGACCACAGAGGCCCTTTTTAAGTTTGCTTTCCTGGAACTTTTTATAAGGACTCTCAGACTGGACTTTTAAACCCTCTCGAGGTTAGGAAGCCAAGAACGTGCCATCAGACTTCGCGTAGAGTACCTATAGATTTGTGAATTCTTCTCTTCTTAACGTCTCCAAAATATCCTAAGATTCCTGGGCCTGCCAGGATCTAGCCTTTGCCACTAATTTGTAAGTCTGGGAACCCTGTAAGCCAAGTGGCAGGCTGGTTTTTCCAAGAGGGCTTTGTAAGCATTGGCTCCGTGGAGTCAGCTTTCGCTCCTTAAAACTGTCTGGCCGTATCTGATTTTATGCATTATTTTAAAACATGACATTCCAGTTATATTTTAAAAGTCCAGTCAAAGCCTCGTTATATAATCAATTTTCCCCATTATGTCCTGTTACAAGGAGGGCTGACCCTACTGAACCTGTGAAAATAACCATATTGCCACGTAAATAAGAATGCCCAATGGGAGTTCCTGAATTCTGGAGGGATCAGGCATGGAGAAAAGATAAATGCTTCATATATATTTTTTATAAAAGTATAATTTACTAAACTGTTTCACGTGTTAGATCACATAAAAGAAAAGGGAAAGAGGTTCCTTATATCCGGAAAATAGGACATTCAAGAACCAACAGTATTTTAAACAAAAGCCATTAAAACTATACTCATTCTTTACCAGTTCATTCAGTTTTATGTAGTCAATTCTTATTGTGCTTGATCTTGGGTTAGCAGTGTTATAAATCCATCAGCTCTTTCATTAGAGTTTTGGAAATTCTGACTTGGTCCAGTGGTATGATATCAAAGTTGTTTAAGCAATACCACCAAAAGCTTTGCCCTGGAGGACCTAGCATAGTCCTTTTCTATGAGTCTCTGCAGCAGTCTCTTTTTGTTGAAGGTGAGTACTCTGGGCTGTAGCCGATTGTAAGAACTTTTAGGAAGCAGGGTAAAACAGTAACTCTGTGGATGATAAGAGTTAAATGGTCTGTTTCCATGAGTTTTTTTTTTTTTTTTTTAAACCCTCAGTTGGTTGCTTTTGAAGGTCTCTGAGTCCCTTGAGACCCCCAGTAGGGGCAGAGGACCTAAATTTTGAGTGACTGTAGGGAGTTGAGGGTCTGGAATATGAAGGGAACGGTCTAGCAGGGTGAGTAGGGGTGAAGAAGGAGGGGACTTGAAGGGGAACCTGTCAGGGGTTCCTTCAGGAGCTGAAGGAAAGAGGAAAGGTGGGAGAAGGAGGAAAGGGGAGCAGAGGTGATGCGAATAGGGGCTCTTAGAGGAGCCAGACTGGGGAGATCTTAAGTTTCCCAAATAAGCCGTTGAAGTTCCAGATTATCCTTAGTAGAGTGTTGCGAACAGGAAAGGAAATGGACAGAGTTAGTGCCGTAGTGGTGACATATACTGTGTAGTCAGCAGTGGTTTGAGAAGAGGGTTTCAGTTGACTGTGAAGTCCATGGGAGGAGCAGGATCAAGGAGGGAAAACAGAGAGGACTCAAAACACAGCCATGAAGTACTTTTAGCCCAGGAGTCAGGGAGTGAATTCTTGCTTGAAACAGAGTGAGGAAGAACTTCCAGCCTAGGAGGTGCCTTTCACACAAAGCTTGGGACTCTAACCAAGCTTCGTGAGTGTACTTGGAATCATGAGAGTCAAAAGCTTCCTCACTGTGCTTCAGTGGATGTTTGTCACAGGCACTGGGCTGGGAGTCAGACTCACTGATGAATCCCCATTGATCAGTCAGGAGCGAAGGCAAAGGCATCAAAAGTGTGCAGCTTGGGGTCCCAAGTGAGAAGGCTGGGGGTGTCTGACGATGAATCTGACCCAATTCAAGTCATGACACTAGGTGGCTGTCATGGATAATGCTGGACACTAGATTTTAATCAGTAATAAACAATTGCAGTAGTGAAGAGGGTCGAGTGTAGTCTATTTTTGTGCAGGGGTCACTGGGTATTTTATTTTATTTTATGTATTTTTTCGAGATGGAGTCTTGCTCTGTCACCCAGGCTGGAGTGCAGTGGTGCCTGCGGGTTCAAGTGATTCTCGTGCCTCAGCCTCCCAAGTAGCTGGGATTACAGGCGCGCGCCACCACGCCCAGCTAATTTTTGTATTTTTAGTAGAGATGGGGTTTCACCATGTTGGCCAGGCTAGTCTCGAACTTCTGGCCTCAAGTGATCCGCCCTCTTTGGCCTCCCAGAGTGCTGGGATTACTGGCGTGAGCCACTGCGCCTGGCCAATTGGGCATTTTAAAAGGTGGGGGAGTGGGCAGGGGAATGGTAGGGCCTTGAGCAGAGCTGGGAAAGTGGAAATAAGGTTGGTCCACGTGAAACCCATCTGGGTTTGCTAACTAACTGGCACTTATCAAAATAAGGCCCTTACCCTTTTACAGAGACTGGGAGATGGGGCCCTATCTTTAGGAGCTGGCTGAAACAAATGGGAAATTCTTTTGGCAGCTTTGACTTTTCCCAGGCAGGAACTTAAGGGGGTTGGAGTCACCATGCTCAAGATGTGACCTTGAACTATTAGGAACAGTGCTGGTGTTGTTCAAGTCTTTTAACGTGGGAGTAGGGGTGGATGAAATCATTTGTGCCGAGCGTGTGCAGTTTTATATAGGCCGAGGTTGAGGCCTAGTCTAGAAGAGATCTCAGAGGACCCTGACTAGAGTTTGGTCAACAAGAGAATCTTTTTCACCCCTGTACCCCTGCCAGGATTTGTGTGAACTCCACCATCTGGACATCTCCTATAATCGCCTGCATTTGGTGCCAAGAATGGGACCCTCAGGGGCTGCTCTGGGGATCCTGATACTGCGAGGCAACGAGCTTCGGAGCCTGCATGGTGAGTGGGGGTGTGTGATGGGGCAAGCACGGAGGGGAAGGGGGAGAGTGAGGTTCGGGCTGGCCTGGGTACCATGTGCCTCTAGAGCCTTGAGAGGGCTTGTGGGGAGTGCAGGGGTGCTCCGGCTGGTCTTTCTGTGCACCCTCCCCGAGTGCATGTACCACACTCACCTGCGTGTACTCATCTGCGTGCCCTTCCTTCCTTCTTGCCCCCATCCCAGGCCTGGAGCAGCTGAGGAATCTGCGGCACCTGGATTTGGCATACAACCTACTAGAAGGACATAGGGAGCTGTCGCCACTGTGGCTGCTGACTGAGCTCCGCAAGGTGAGATGGCAGTGCATCAGGGGCCTGAGAGCCACCCTTGCAGCCACCCCCCTATGCTGGTTTGGTCAGTGCCTTCTTCACACAGGGAGGGCCAGGCCCCAGGCCCTCCTCATTCTCCGCTTCCTGCCCTTCAGCTCTACCTGGAGGGGAACCCTCTTTGGTTCCACCCTGCGCACCGAGTAGCCACTGCCCAGTACTTGTCACCTCGGGCCAGGGAGGCTGCTACTGGCGTGAGTGATCGTCCTATGTCCACTCTGCTTCCTCTTTCCTGCCCAGTCCTCCCCTACCTTGCACCGTCTTGCCATCCCTGGGTGAGGGGCCGAGGACCTGGACCCTGCTTACTGTGTTGTCAATACCTGGAACTCAGCAGGATGGACCCCACCACATACTCCCTTCCCCACCCTTTTTGTCTTTGCTCAGTTCCTTCTCGATGGCAAGGTCTTGTTGCTGACAGATTCTCAGGTCGGTGTGGTCAGGGGGCGAGGACTGTTGGGGAAGACATGAAGGGAGGGCCCTGGGGAGAGAACACAGGGCTGGCTGGTGACAGGGTCTTCCTGGTCAGTGGAAAGTAGGGTCCTGCCTTTTGGCTGGCTTGGGCAAGGCAGAGGTGCTCCCAGTCTCCATCCTTTCTCTCCTTCCTGTTGTCAAATACCAGACTCACACATCCTTGAGGCTCAGCCCCACGGGCCCACCTTTGCCCTGGCCAGTGGGGAGTACTCCTGAAACCTCAGGTGGCCCTGACCTGAGTGACAGCCTCTCCTCGGGGGGTGTTTTGGCCCAGGCCCCACTTCATAAGGTTAAGGTAAGCAGCGTCCTCCGCTGCCTCATGCCTGGGGTGGGGTGTCTCTCTGGGGACTCTGGGCTGCAGTGGGCAGGGAATGGTAGGAACTGTGCTTGCACGTGGTCGGGGTTTCTTTGATAGGTTGGATGGCCAGCCGTGGATGGCAGGGCTGGAGGCTTGGCTTTCACAGAACTTCTTCCCTCCACTAACCTCAGAGCCGAGTCCGTGTAAGGCGGGCAAGCATCTCTGAACCCAGTGATACGGACCCGGAGCCCCGAACTCTGAAACCCTCTCCAGCTGGTAAGTCAGCTTCACCCCACTAACTCTCTCGTCCACGTCCAGCTCACTCTGATTTTTAAGTTACGGTGAAGGTGTGCTGGAAGAAATGTTATTTTTTGTTGGTAGAGTATTATAGAGGGCTTCTTAGTCTTTCTTCTTTTCTTTTAGTTTAGAGAAAGGAGAAGACTGCTTCTGGGAGCATTTTGAAAACTTTTTGAGGAACATTAATTTTGTGGGGTGTCAAGAGATCATGTAGGCCAGGTGCAGTGGCTTACATCGGTAATCCCAGCACTTTGGGAGGCCGAGGTGGGAGGATTGCCTGAGCCCAGGAGTTTGAGACCAGCTTGGGCAACACAGAGAGATGCCCATTTCTCCAAAAAAATTTTTAAATTAGCCTGACATGGTGATGTGCACCTGTAGTCCTATCTGCCTGGGAAGCTGAGGCAGGAGGATCGCTAGAGCCTGATAGTTCAAGGTTTCAGTGAGCTGTGATTGTGCCACTGCACTGTAACCTGGTGACCGAATAAGACCCCATCTCTTAAAAAAACTAAAACCCAAAACCAAAGAAAATATATATGTGTATATATATATATAAAAGGATTGTGGCCAGAGAAGTTTGGGAAATGTGAGGTTGAAGAGAAATAGATGTGTTCGCTGCAGGCCGTCTCAGGACCTTTAGGACGCTGTCATGCATGCTGAGTCTCCAGAAGCAGCATAGGATGTGCAGCTTGGATTGCACTTGACCACAGTGTTCCATAGGACACACTTCAGTACATGCCGCGGAGGGGACACCTGTAGCCTCCCCTGCCCCTGTCCCCATACACAGTCCATTGCCCCCTCATTGCTGAGGAGCACCATTGAAGGATTTGGGGCCATCTGTGTGGGGTGGGCTTGCTCAGCTCTGGGTTCCCCTCCTGCCCAGGATGGTTCGTGCAGCAGCACCGGGAGCTGGAGCTCATGAGCAGCTTCCGGGAACGGTTTGGCCGCAACTGGCTGCAGTACAGGAGTCACCTGGAGGCCTCTGGAAACCCTCTGCCGGCCACCCCCACCTCTCCTGCCCCCAGCACACCTCTAGCCAGCTCCCAGGGCCCTGACACTACACCCAGACCTCCACCCCTGCAGGAGGAAGCCAGAGGCCCCCGGGAGTCACCACAAAAAATGTCAGAGGAGGTCAGGGCAGAGCCACAGGAGGAGGAGGAGGAGAAGGAAAGGGAGGAGGAGGAGAAGGAGGGGGAGATGGTGGAACAGGGAGAAGAGGAGGCAGGAGAGGAGGAAGAAGAGGAGCAGGACCAGAAGGAAGTGGAAGGTGAGCCCTCTGTGGGCTGGGGCGAGCTGGGGCCAGCGGCCGTTGGGATGTTTGTGCGTAGTGGGGCCTGGTGGGTGGAGGGCCAGTGCGGGGGAGGGCGGCGTGTGGGTACTTTCCCTCCCTGCAGGGCTTCTCTCGGTCTCTCCACAGCGGAGCTCTGTCGCCCCATGTTGGTGTGTCCCCTGGAGGGGCCTGAGGGCATGCGGGGCAGGGAATGCTTTCTCAGGGTCACTTCTGCCCACCTGTTTGAGGTGGAACTCCAAGCAGCTCGCACCCTGGAGCGACTGGAGCTCCAGAGTCTGGAGGCTGCTGAGATAGAGCCAGAGGCCCAGGCCCAGAGATCACCTGGGCCCACGGTGAGTTGGGGGCGGCAGGGCACTGAAGGAGCCAGCTATGGGCACATGGCTGTTGTGTGCCCTGCACTGGGCTGGGCATTTCCCACAGTCTCTCCTTGGCACTAGGAGTCGAGGAGGGGAGCCTCAGAGGTTGCAAGCGCTTGGGAGGCTGGGCTGAGGAGCAGGGATTCTGTGCTCGAGCTTGGACGTCAGCACAGGCCTTTAACAGGCTCCAGAGCTCCTGCCGTCCTCCACGCTCTCAGCATCCCTCATCCCTCTGATCACCGCTCCTGCTGATTTTCACCCAGTCCCCCTCTTCTGCGCAGGGCTCAGATCTGCTCCCTGGAGCCCCCGTCCTCAGTCTGCGCTTCTCCTACATCTGCCCTGACCGGCAGTTGCGTCGCTATTTGGTGCTGGAGCCTGATGCCCACGCAGCTGTCCAGGTGATGGGGCCTAGAGTAGGGGCCCAGGAGGCTGTGGGGATTAAGAGAGCCAGAGGGGAGCGGCAGCAGGCCTGAGGGCCAGGGGCCTGTGAGAGGTGTCCCTCTGGGGTCCGCCTGCTCACAGCTGCCTCTGATCCACCCTCTGTCAGGAGCTGCTTGCTGTGTTGACCCCAGTCACCAATGTGGCTCGGGAACAGCTTGGGGAGGCCAGGGACCTCCTGCTGGGTAGATTCCAGTGTCTACGCTGTGGCCATGAGTTCAAGCCAGAGGAGCCCAGGCTGGGATTGGACAGTGAGGAAGGCTGGAGGCCTCTGTTCCAAAAGACAGGTATAAGGCCTGCCCTTGACCTCTCTGCCCACACGCCTCCCCTGTTGCAGGGAAAGTGGCTCTGTGTAGGGGAGTGTGAAGGGGGAGCCCCAGGGAGAAGGGGCTAGAGTGGAGACCAGTTGTTCTGCCTGGAGGAAAAAGAAAACCGCCTGCCTGCTGCATTTACAAAAAGGAAAACAGAAAAAAAGAAGAAACTATATCCTGCTTTTTTTGTTTTTTTTTTTTCTTTTAACTCTAAAAGTCAGGAAATGCAATCTCTGTAACTGTGCTTGAACTCATTATTTTTTCATAACTTGAAACCTTGTTTGTGTTGGGTTTTTTTTTGGCTGATATTTCAGACACTACATAAAACCTGACGAGCCCTCACGCAGTATTGGATGGTGGTGCTGCACCTGCCAGCAAGTGTAGCTGTTGAGTGACATGCTCGGGGAGTTGGCTTGGTTTGTCCTTCCCGGCTGACCTTGGAAGCTACATAATGTCCTGTGGCATTTCTTCATGCGCTAATCCTTAAAACAAGAATTGTTTCCATTGTAGACCGGTCAGAAAGTACTATCTTTAAAGAATACATTGAAGAAGAAATAAATATTCTTGATAACAGCTATGTGGAAATGCCAGAATTTTATTAGCCAGTTTTCTCTTCTTGGTGGCAGCTGGAGCAGGGGTTTACATTTTATTCAGAAAATGGAGCCCTGCTCTGTTCCCCACTGTGAACTAGCCTGGGCATGCAGCCTTAGCGACACAGTGCAAACAAACACAGCCGCCAGCCCCTCCCGGACCCTGGCTCTACACCATGAGTCGCTGTGGACTCGGGAGCCTCTTCCATGATGGTGTTTTTTTTTTTTTTTTTTTTTTTTTTTTTGAGACGGAGTCTCGCTCTGTCGCCCAGGCTGGAGTGCAGTGGCCGGATCTCAGCTCATTGCAAGCTCCGCCTCCTGGGTTTACGCCATTCTCCTGCCTCAGCCTCCCGAGTAGCTGGGACTACAGGCGCCCGCCACCTCGCCCGGCTAGTTTTTTGTATTTTTTTTAGTAGAGACGGGGTTTCACCGTGTTAGCCAGGATGGTCTCGATCTCCTGACCTCGTGATCCGCCCGTCTTGGCCTCCCAAAGTGCTGGGATTACAGGCTTGAGCCACCACGCCCGGCCCATGATGGTGTTATTAATGAACGCTACTGTGGGCTCTGTTCTCCTTTCATTTTTTTTTTTTTTTGAGATGGGGTCTCGCTCTGTCACCCAGGCTGGAGTGCAGTGGCGCGACTGCGGTTCACTGCAAGCTCCGCCTCCTGGGTTCACGCCATTCTCCTGCCTCAGCCTCCCGAGTAGCTGGGACTACAGGCGCCCGCCACCACGCCCAGCTAATTTTTTGCATTTTTAGTAGAGACGGAGTTTCACGGTGTTAGCCAGGATGGTCTCAATCTCCTGACCTCGTGATCCGCCCGCCTCCCAAAGTGCTGGGATTACAGGCATGTGCCACCGTGCCTGGCCAACTGTTCTTTCATTTGCACCTCAGTTACCTCCTCTGAACAAAGAAGGGAATGAACTCACCCCATGGTGCTGTTACGCTATTTAAATGTGACAGTAAGGCACCAAGCAGAGGGCCTGGCACAACACAAAGGTCCCCTGTAAATGGTAGCTGCTGCCGTTGCCCCAAGCTATATGGTCCTGGGCAGCGTGTGTAAAGGATTTAATCTTTTCTTTACTCGTTGCAAAATGGGATAGGGAGAGTTTCTCTGGTAATGAAATGTGATCATACTGGCATGGGAGCTAGCACACGCCCAGCACAGTGCAGCTGCTCAGAGTGCTGCGTCTCTCATTGCTGATCCGTGTCCTGATTCCTTCCCGGCTTCCTGACACTAAGGATGAGTATAAGATAGACTCTATTGTCATCCCTAATTTATAGATGAGGAACCAGGTTCATAGAGCTTAGATGACTTGCCCATGATTACAGAGCCATTAATTGATGGAGCCTAGAATTGGACCCAAATATGGCAAGAGAGTTCTCTCTGTCTTTCGAGACCTGTTGATTTTGGTCTTTCAGACGTTGCTAGGAGAGCCCTGAAGTAACTTGATCAGCCCAAGTCTGTAGGAGGGCGTAAGAGCAGGGCCTGGTTGTGTTTGACCCAGTCAGAGAGGGCCTAGAGTTAGAAGGTAGAGTGCACTTTGAGGAGGTTGTGGGCCAGGGTTAGCTCATCCCTCCCTGGGTTGGGGAGTGATCAGTCGGCAGCTGTACTGGGAGAGAGGGAGCTGGTGGGCTGGGGTGCGGTAGTTGTGTATGAAGCTGGAGACTTGGGCTCAGGGAAGACCTGAGAGTGGGAAAGGAACATCAAGAGCATGGTGGGAGTTGTGGCACTTTGTGGGGGAGGCTCACGGGGACCGTGTCCATCTTCCCTCCAGAATCTCCTGCTGTGTGTCCTAATTGTGGTAGTGACCACGTGGTTCTCCTGACTGTGTCCGGGGGAACCCCCAACAGGGAGCAGAAACAGGGAGAGCAGTCTCTGGCTCCCTCTCCGTCTGCCAGCCCTGTCTGCCACCCTCCTGGCCATGGTGACCACCATGACAGGGCCAAGAACAGCCCACCTCAGGCACTGAGCACCCGTGACCACAGTAGTTGGAGCCTCAGTCCCCGTGAGTATAGGCAAAACAAGACATAGATGGGTTTGGGGAAGGGAAGGGACACTGATGGGGAGGTGGAGATGGAGCCCAGGGGCTGCCACGGGCAGGCTGATGTCCCCTCATGGCCCTCAGCCCCTGAGCGCTGCGGCCTCCGCTCTGTGGACCACCGACTCCGGCTCTTCCTGGATGTTGAGGTGCTCAGCGAGGCCCAGGAGGAGTTCCAGTGCTGCCTCAAGGTCTGTGCTCCCTGACACTGCCTATGCCCCCAGCTGGCCAGGGTGCCCACTCGTTTCCATCATAGCCAACTGAGTCAGATCACTCTGGAGTCACCTGTTGCTGGCTTCTGGTTTCAACCCCAGCAGCTGCTTGCTGTGTGGCCGTGGACCCATTCCTTGGCATTTGAGTCCCAGTTGTTGCCCATCTGCAATGGAGATAGCCATGCCTCCCTGACACACAGGAGTGCATCAGAGGTCGTGTTGAAGCTGCCCAGCCCCTGGCACTCATCAGTGGGGCCTTCTAGTAGTATTATAAACCCATGATGTTATTAGGCCTTTGTTGTGCACTTTTTGTGCTAGACACTGAGGATCTACAGATCCATCTTGCCCTTGATCTTACAGTCTGGTGTGAGAAGTTCACAATGATTGTGTAATATGCAAGTGCTGTAATCGGGCTAAGGCCCTAGAAGGGGTATCTAGTCCAGCTTGAGTGGGTCAAGGAGTCTTCCTGGGAGGTGATGTCTAAGCTAAGTCTTGAAGGATAAGGAGTAGGGAGGAAAAGAATGTATTAGGTAAAGGAAGCAGCAAATGCATGGAGGCCCGAGACTGTCACCGGTAGGGGGAGCTGCCCAGGATGAAGGCATCTGGATGTGCAGGGTGAGGGGCAGGGGTCCTGAGAGGACTCTGGTGGGCTGGCAGGGGCCAGGTCAGGAGCTGCCTCCTGTGTCCGCCAAGGAGTTTGGACTTGGTCTTGAGGGCCACCGGGAGCCACTGAAGGATTTGAAATGGGGCAGTGATGGTCAGTTTTGTGCCTTAGAACAGTTAGTCTGGTGGAGCGTGGAGCGGGTGAGGTGACAGGCAGGGAAGCCAGCTGCCGACACTCTGAGCGAGCAGGGGCTGCAAGGCAGAGAGCGATGGTGGATGAAGAGGCTGTCGAGTGTCAGGGAAGCTCCATAGACTGCTGGGTGGGCAGTGGGAAGGTCAGGCCGAGGGTGCTGTCACCAGGAACTCGGCTTTCAGTCTGGCCCCACCTCCCCAGACCTCCCATCAGGTGTCTCACCAACTTCCTCTTCCCCCAGGTGCCAGTGGCATTGGCAGGCCACACCGGGGAGTTCATGTGCCTTGTGGTTGTGTCTGACCACAGGCTGTACCTGTTGAAGGTGACTGGGGAGATGCGGTGAGCGAGGGGGGAGATGCGGTGAGCGAGGGGGGAGATGGGGCAAGTGAAGGGGGAGATGGGGCGAGCGAGGGGGGGAGATGGGGCGAGTGAGGCGGGGAGATGGGGTGAGCGAGGGGGTAGATGGGGCCAGCGGGGGGAGATGGGGTGAGTGAGGGGGGGAGATGGGGTGAGGGGGAAGATGGGGTGAGTGGAGGGGGAGATGGGATAAGCGAGGTGGGCGATGGTGTGAATGAGGGGGAGATGGGGTGTGCAAGGCAGGGAGATGGGGTGTGCAAGGCGGGGAGATGGGGTGATGAGCGAGGTGGGGAGATGGGGTGATGAGTGAGGGGGGAGATGGGGTGAGTTGGGGGAAGATGGGGTGATGAGCAAGGCGGGGAGATGGGGTGATGAGTGAGGGGGGAGATGGGGTGAGCAAGGCGGGGAGATGGGGTGATGAGCGAGGCGGGGAGATGGGGTGAGTGAGGGGGGAGATGGGGTGAGTGTGGGGGAAGATGGGGTGATGAGCGAGGTGGGGAGATGGGGTGATGAGTGAGGGGGGAGATGGGGTGAGTGTAGGGGGAAATGGGGTGATGAGTGAGGGGGGAGATGGGGTGTGCAAGGCGGGGAGATGGGGTGATGAGCGAGGCGGGGAGATGGGGTGATGAGCGAGGCGGGGAGATGGGGTGAATGAGGGGGAGATGGGGTGAGTAAGGGGGAGATGGGGTGAGTGGTGGGGGAGATGGGGTGATGAGTGAGGGGGAGATGAGGTGAGTGACGGGGGAGATGGAAATGCGGTAAGTGCACGGGGGTGATGCAGTGAGTGAGGCGGGTGCAGCCAGGGCAGGGCTTCCCTGGGACTCTCACTCCACCCTCACTCTTCTCCATCGCTCTGTCCTCTCTCCACAGTGAGCCTCCAGCTAGCTGGCTGCAGCTGACCCTGGCCGTTCCCCTGCAAGATCTGAGTGGCATAGAGCTGGGCCTGGCAGGCCAGAGCCTGCAGCTGGAGTGGGCAGCTGGGGCGGGCCGCTGTGTGCTGCTGCCCCGAGATGCCAGGCGTTGCCGGGCCTTCCTAGAGGAGCTCCTTGGTGAGGGGGGAAGGGAAGGCAGGAGGGTGGGCAGGGTCCTGGGGCCGAGCTCCCCACCTGGTGCTCAGTAGCGGAGACAGAGAGGGAACAGGACTTGTCCCTTGTAGAAGTTTCTCAAATCCAGAAATGTGGAGAACAGAAAGGGATTGAGAGGTGGTGAGTTTAGGCTGGAGGAGAGCAGAGCCTTCTAAAGTTCCCTGGCCTGGCTCTGTCTAGATGTCTTGCAGTCTCTGCCCCCTGCCTGGAGGAACTGTGTCAGTGCCACAGAGGAGGAGGTCACCCCCCAGCACCGGCTCTGGTGAGTCGATAGGAGGCAGAGGCTGGGGTTGCTGCTCAATCCTCTTTTTCACAGAGCACCAGACATGGCCCTGTGCTGAGTAGGTCCTGGGCAGCCACCTGTCCTCATGCCATGCCCCCCATGGGCCCCTAACGCCTCCTCCCAATGCCCTGCAAGTCTTTCTTCCCACTCCCCTCCCTCCAAGTCCTTCCCACCCCCTAGCGGATCTTCCTGTGCCTGCCATGTTCCCCCTAGGCCATTGCTGGAAAAAGACTCATCCTCGGAGGCTCCCCAGTTCTTCTACCTTCGGGCGTTCCTGGTGGAAGGTGAGGCCTCTGTGCTGCTGATGCTTCCCTGGTCTCTGTACCCCACCTTGTCACAGGCACTGGCCCACGCCCAGCACCCGTACAGTGCCTTCGTAGCCACTGACAGTTCCTGGAACCTGGGCTTCCTCTCACTTGAGAGCATAGCCAAGTAACAGCCTCAGTGTGCCCTGACTCTCTAGGCGGGGTCAGGAGGCCCCCAGGATCCTCAGTTACCCAGAGCCTTTGCTCTCAGGCCCGGGCTTTCTATGAAATGGAGCAGCGTGGCTGAGTCGGCCCTGCCTCATCAGTCAGAGAGGGCGAGGGCGGAGCCTTGTTTCTGTGTAGGGTGGGTGTGGGACAGTGGAGGGTGGTAGGCCTCAGAGGTGTTCCAGACTAGAGATGCCTGGAGCTTGGGAAAGGGAGGGTCTTGGCCCCAGGGGCACAGGCTGCTTTGTGACCCACCTGAGTGTGGTTCACGCCTCTTCCCAGCAGCACTGGGACGCTGGCCCCAGGAATCTGGGCCCCTCCATGACCCTCCACTCTGGGTGCCTCTTTCCCTACAGGCCCTTCCACCTGCCTTGTATCCCTGTTGCTGACTCCGTCCACCCTGTTCCTGTTAGAGGAGGACGCTGCAGGGCCCCTGGCAGAGCCCCCACCTCCAGCAGCATCTGGCGAAGCCTCTGAGAAGGTGCCTCCCTCCGGGCCGGGCCCTGTTGTGCGTGTCAGGGAGCAGCAGCCACTCAGCAGCCTGAGCTCCATTTTGCTCTACCGCTCAGCCCCTGAGGACTTGCGGCTGCTCTTCTACGATGAGGTGTGTGTGTGTATGTCCAGTGAGAGAGGGAGGGAGGGGAGATGGCGAGCACAGGTTGGGGCCATGAGGGCAGGGTGGGGAATGGGTCTCGGAACCCTGGGCATTGGCGGCAAGATGGCACTTACAGATGAGAGAACACCATCCTGGCTAACACGGTGAAACCCCGTCTCTACTAAAAATACAAAAAATGATTCAGGCGTGGTGGTGCGTGCCTGTAGTCCCAGCTACTTGGAGGCTGAGGCAGGAGAATGGCGTGAACCCAGGAGGCGGAGCTTGCAGTGAGCCGAGATGGTGCCACTGCACTCCAGTCTGGGCGACAAAGCGAGACTCTGTCTCAAAAAAAAAAAACCCAAAAAAACCCAAAAAAAACAAAAAACAGATGAGAGAACTGGTGTTGGAGGAACTGGGGGACTCTGGGCTTGGATGAGCACCAAGTCAGAGAGGGAGGCAGCTGTAGGTGGGGGAGACACCTGGACTGGGAGCCCAGCCATTTATTAGCCGTGAGGCTTTCTTTTTTTTTTTTTTTTGAGGCAGAGTCTCACTCTGTCACCCAGGCTGGAGTGCAGTGGGGCGATCTCAGCTCACTGCAAGCTCCGCCTCCTGGGTTTATGCCATTCTCCTGCCTCAGCCTCCCGAGTAGCTGGGACTACAGGCGCCCGCCACCTCGCCCGGCTAATTTTTTTTGTATTTTTTAGTGGAGACGGGGTTTCACCGTGTTAGCCAGGATGGTCTCGATCTCCTGACCTCGTGATCCACCCGCCTCAGCCTCCCAAAGTGCTGGGATTACAGGCATGAATCACCGCGCTCAGCCAGCTGTGAGGCTTTCAGTGAGGTTTCCGGCAGCTTTGAGTTGGCAGGATTGGGCCGGTTGTATGCCAGCCGTTTGGCCTTTGTGACCACCACCTGGGGAGATACTGTTACTGGTCCTATTTACAGATGAGGAAGCTGAGGCTTGGGGCTGTTAACCAGTTTGCCCAGGCCAAAGTGGTGGAGCCAGGAATTGAATCCACAGTTCCCTGAAATTGTGTCCGCATCTTCTGTACAACAGGGAAGATGAAGGAGACAGGTCCTCTGGAGGCTTTCAGTAAACGTTGACTGGATTCTGTTTACAAAGCTCAGTCAGGATCTTTTATGCGGAGTGACACGGGCCTGGGGGAGGGGTGAGGCACTGAGCCAAGGTGGAGACAGTGAGGCCTTCCCGGAGACCTCCCCTGGGCTCACCCTGATGTGGTCCCCATGAGCCTCGCCTTGCTAACTGCTCGCTCTGCCAGGTGTCCCGGCTGGAGAGCTTCTGGGCACTCCGTGTAGTGTGTCAGGAGCAGCTGACAGCCCTGCTTGCCTGGATCCGGGAACCGTGGGAGGAGCTGTTTTCCATCGGACTCCGGACTGTGATCCAAGAGGCGCTGGCCCTTGACCGATGAGGGTCCCACGCCGACCTTGGCCCTGACCTCAGGAGCCACACTGTAGACATTCCCTCTGCTGGTCTCTGGGTCTGGCTTCCAGGCTCTGGCTGTGGACTTCTTCAGCCTCTGGGTACTAGCCAGTGAGGCACCAAATGACCCAGGGCTTAAGGGAGAGGCGAGAGAATGATCTGGCCTCAGGGGACAGGCCACGTGGTCAGGAGGAATATTTTTCCTGCACTTTTTCTCAGGTATCAATAAAGTTGTTTCCAACTCATAGGTCATGTGTGGTACTTAGATGTCACTCATAAGGCCTGCCGTTCCCCTAACCTCCTGACAGAAGCTATCCCGCCCATCACCTTTCCTGAATGGGCAGCTCCAGTCAGCCTTGTTTGTACCATGAGACCCCATCTCCAACCCAACTGTGGTCCCAGCGTGGGGGATCCAGTAGAACTCATGACCCACGGGCACACAGCCCCAAGCTGGCAGTGACCTGTCATGTGGCCTGGCATGGAATTGCTGCTGGGCCACACAGAGTCCCTCTCTCTTGAATTTTATGTGGGAAGTAGTGAGGACTTCAGGCTCTCGCAGAGAGTGTCTGGGGAGAGGGTGTGTGGAGTTGAATGGTGACCTTTGCTTCCTGCCATTGCCTTCTCAGCACCGCCTCACTCAGCCCGGAGGCCTGGATGGTCAGCCCCACTCCCTCACCTCTTGTCTCCAAGTCTGGCCCCAGTGATTGGTTCAGGAATCTTCATGTGACTTGGTTTGGCTTATGAAGGCCCAGCGCAGGCATTTGACTAGAGTAACCAAGAAAGAGGCAAGTTTCCTTTCAGGGTTGCTGAGAGGATAAGCCTGGAGCTGCTGGCTTTGGGGAGGCGCTTTCCTAAAGTGGAGCCATGAGAGAGAGGAAGACGACCGGGTGGAGAGATCAGGGCCAGATCCTGGGGATATCTTTGAAGCCCCTGGGTCTAGTTGTGCGCAAAGACAGAAACCCCTGTGATTCCAGGTAACATAAGCTAAAAAGGAAGCCCTCCCCTCCCCGTTTCTATGGCTTAAGATAATTTGAAGCAAGTATGAGCCACCAAGAGTTCCAACTAAACAAACCCTGATTCCAACTTGAGCTGGGCTGAGATCTGTCTCTTGTATCGAAGAATGAACACAATGGAAATCATTGCAGCCACACAGTTGTGCAGAGGCCGTGGTTCTTGGTTCCTGTTCTGAAGTGAGGCAGAATGATTAATCCAGCTCACTTTTTTGTGTCAGGCCTATGGCCTTGACCACTTTGTAACCCGACTGCTTGGTGGGACAGCAGGACTGGGGCTGTGTCACCGGGGACTTCCACCTGGAAAGGTTGTGGGAAGGGTTGCCTGGCCTAACCAGGCCACTGCATCTCTAAATCCATGGGGTGAAGTATTTAAAAATGAAAAGGGGTCATTGAAAATCCTGTACTTTTACATTTATTTAAAATTATTTAAAATTTATTTGAAAGATAATGTATACAGGAAAAAAAAATGTACACTGCACTTAAGAATGTAGTGCGTTGCTCTCATATGCCTGACCCCCTAACTCTAGATTCAAGCATTCTTACCCATTTTTTGTGTATCTGCTCAGAAATCTCAGTGCATGTACACAAGTTTCCCCAGAAAAGGGTAATGAAGCCACTCAATTCCATTTAAAAAAAAGATCGGCCTGGGCAAACATTGGCCCGGGCACGGTGGCTCACGCCTAATCCCAGCACTTTGGGAGGCCGAGGTGGGCGGATCATGAGGACAGGAGATTGAGACCATCCTGGCTAACACGGTGAAACCTCATCTCTACTAAAAATACAAAAGATTAGCGGTGGTGGCGGGCATCTGTAGTCCCAGCTACTTGGGAGGCTGAGGCAGGAGAATGGCGTGAACCCGGGAGGCATAGCTTGCAGTGAGCCGAGATTGCGCCACTGTACTCCAGCCTGGGTGACAGAGCGAGACTCCATCTCACACACACAAAAAAGATTGATTTCTAAGATTAGTTTCTCCCTGGCAGGTCTGGCCTGCTTGGTGGGAGAGTGGGGAGGAAACGGTAGGAGTTATGGAACCGGCTAGTTGGGAAATGCTGGCTGGGGTAGAGGCCCCTTGGAAATGCCTGCAGAAGCTGAGGGCCCAGAAAGATCTGTGCAGAGGCCCAGAAAATAAATTCACCTACTTCTGTTTTGCTTAGAACTGTCCTCAATTTTTAATTGAAGCAAATTCCCAAAAATATTAGTCCACTTTCTCGGCAATGTGCACACCCCCTTCTCGGTCAGTGAGTTGGACCATCTGCAAACAGGAGCTGGTGCTGGTCCTGAGGAAGGCCTTTCCCTGGCCAGAGCCTGCCCTTCACACCAGGCCTGTTTGTAGGCACTTCCCCAGAAGTCAGGTCAAATGAGGCCATGGTGCAGATGGGGCAGAATAATCTCCAGTCATTCAGGGTGACTGGTAGAGAAGTGTGAGGCAGGGAGTTGGAAGAGGAGTTCCTTCCATTTCTTTGTGCTTATCATCTCTGTGAACACCTTGTTTTCTAGAACAGTGCAGTGGGGTCTTCTACAGTCTTTATGCAGAAGTGCTCTTTCTTCAGTGACGCAGAAGACAGAGGTCAAGGGTGAGGTCATCACCACTCCTGGAGGTGTCTGTCCCTTTAGTTCTGCACCTAACTAGGAGCAGGTGCCCCAGGTGCACCTGCCCCTCTGACCCTTCCACCCTCTGAGCAAAGGCAACTGATTTCCCACTGGCGCTCAGCACAGGTGTCAGTAGGAGGCCCTCGACCCTGGACAACTCCCAGAGATCGATTCCTCCATTCAGTCTGGCCTTTCCCCTCCAGCAAGTGCTTATTGATCCCCTGGCCTCTGTTTGGCCTTGGGGTTGCTGGCATGAAGGATGCAGACCTCTGGCTCCCGGAAAGCAGTGGAAAGAAGGGATCCTCTCACCTGAAACTAAATCCAAGGGAGAAGCAGGAAATTGGTGGTGGGGAATGAAGATGAGGATGAGGAGGAAGGGGCACAGAGGTGGTATTGAGGGTTTTTTTTTTTTATACTTAGAAAAATTTAAAACTCTCTGTATTATAGATTCAAGAATTATATTTAAAAATTTATATAAGGCCCTATGGGGGTTAGTGACTTAACTAAGTGATAGAAAACTCCATTACTAAGACTTCAGAAGCAGGGAGAAGACCAGCTCGACAGACCTGTCTCTTTTTCTCTGTAGGAGAGGGTCCGTCTTTGCCACGTGGAGGACAGGGTGACATCCTCCACCCTTGTCAAGATGCTGTGGTAGCTTCTGAAGAGACCCTACCCAGATTGCTTGGCTGCGGTTGAAAATTCAGCCATGGTTCTGTGCGTTATGTTTTGCCCATCACTGAGTACATGCACTATTTCACATCTATCTATTCATCTACTCAAGGGGTGGTGTGGTGTGGTCGTGGTATAGGAAAAGACACGGTGGATTTAGCTCTAAAAGATCCAGGGTTATGCCTTAGTTTTGTGGCTCCCTATTTAATCACAAAAGTGCTCACCCTTGTTCCCTCATCTACTGCATGGGGATGAGACTGATCAGTAACTTACCTAATTCACAAAATTGTTGTGTGTAATCACATATATGGAAGTACTATGTGGTCCATAAAACAGGAAATAAGTGCTGGTTAAAAACCTGCCTAGGCTGGGCACAGTGGCTCATGCCTGTAATCCCAGCACTTTGGGAGGCTGAGGCAGGTGGATCACCTGAGGTCAGGAGTTTGAGACCAGCCTGACCAAGATGATGAAACCCCATCCCTAAAAATACAAAAATTAGCCAGGCATGGTGGCGGGCATCTGTAATCCCAGCTACTCAGGAGGCTGAGGCAGGAGAATTGTTTGAACCCGGGAAGTGGGTTGCAGTGAGCTGAGGTAGTGCCATTGCACTCCAGCCTGGGTGACAGAGCAAGACTCCATCTCAAAAAAAAAAAAAAAAAGCCTGCATTTTAATGTGTTTCTATGTGGATATGTCCTCAGACGCTTCTGGGGACAGGAGTGAACCATAGCATAGGTGTTGTTCTTTTGACCCATCTTTGTCATTTGATTGTTTTGGACTCAGTGACTTCTCCATTCTCCACAAAAATATTCTTCAGTTTACCAGTTACTATAATTACTTGTGCACTTGCTTTCAATTCCACAGACGTTTATTGAGCTCTTAGAATGTGCCAGGCTGTATGTGAGAAGATGGGGGCAGGGATCCAAGGATGAATCAGACGCGCTCCTGCCTTCAAGGAGCTTCTGGTCCAGGGAGGGAATGGGGAAAGGTGCCCTGGAGGTGGTCGTGAAGGCTGGGTAAGGTTACAGTAGGAGAATATTGCTATAGTGACTGTTTCTGAGCACCTGCTCTAATAATTTCATTCACATTACTTCACTCAGTGTGACCACCCTGAATGAAAAGTGTGATCTCCATTTCACAGGTGAGGAAGCTGAGGCTCAGATTCAATACAGGGAATCTCACCAAGGGGATACTAGATGTCAAACTTGGGCCATCTGCCTGGAATCTGTGCCCTTTCCTCTCAACTGGGTTGCCTCTCAGGCCTTCCAGAGTGCCCACCCTGCTTCACCCTTCAGTCTCTTTCCCTTTTTTTTTTTTTTTTTGGCTGGAGTCTCATTCTGTTGCCCAGGCTGGAGTGCAGTGGCACAGCCTTAGCTCGCTGCAAGCTCTGCCTCCTGGGTTCAAGCGATTCTCCTGCCTCAGCCTTCCGAGTAGCTGGGATTACAGGCATGTGCCATCAGGCCCAGTTAAATTTTTATATTTTTAGCAGAGATGGGGTTTCACCATGTTGGTCAGGCTGGTCTTGAACTCCTGACCTCAGGTGATCCACCTACCTTGGCCTCCCAAAGTGGTGGGATTATAAGCATGAGCCACCGTTCCTGACCTTCAGTCCTTTTCTATTCATCTCCTTGTGGCACCAACTTCCAGGGAAACCACATTCTTCCGGAAAAACACAAACCAGATCACCTAAATATCCAGGCAGACTATTCTTTCCTGCCATAGGGCCTTTCTGGGCCCTTCCTTTTGTCTAGAATGTTCTCCTCTCCCCACTTCTCCAACTCACCCTTCATGGCATGGCCAGTTCTTTCGTTCCCTTCAGGTTTTTCCTCTTTGTCACCTCCTTACCGAGATGTCCCTAATTCTGCTTCCTGAATGTTCACTGTAGCAGGCCTTTCCCCTCATGGCTTTTGCCATGTTTCTTAATTATAAGTTGTGTTTGCTTGTTTGTTGTCTTCAAGACAGGGTCCAGGACTTTTTCACCAACATATATGCAACCTAGCATGGAGTTCTGAGTGAGTGTGTGAGCTTCAGTTTACACACTGGGTGCGTGAAGTGTTACTTTACAACATTCGCAAAACAGCCTCATTTTATTTCAAGCCCCCATCCCACAGGGTTAGCAGGACTCACCGACTTCACTTTCTCCCCTCTCTGCATCTTGGAGACCCTCCTGCTTTGCTGATTGGGGAGGTCAAAGGGTCTGCTCCTCCACTCCTTCCCCATCTTCCAGCCAAGACACTGTTTCTCTTGCTAACCCTCTTCCTCTTTCTTCCTTCACAAACCTCCTTTGGTTCCCTAAAGCGTTGGCTCTGGAAGAACAAAAGGCAGAAGGGCTCGTAGGCGATTTCTGCTTTCTGTCCTACCCATTCGCCCCAAATAACAAAACTCAAAGCAGGCTACCTGCTTGGGTAGGGCCAGAAGAGGAGCATGTAAGGACATAGATCCATATTTCAAAATTCTCTGTTAGCCAAATAAATCAAATACATCAGTAAAGACGGGAGCTGGAAGGTGGAGTCTGCAGGGGTGGGAGGAACTTCAGGGACATTGGTGCTGTCCTGAGATTGGATCTATTTAAAAGCTGAGTCCAAATTTACCAAGCAACCCATAAATTATAACGGGATAAACCACCGCAGAGTAACAACAATAGTAAACAATAAGAATTTCATTTATTGAGCACCTATTTTGTGCCAAGCATTGAACTGGCATTTTATATATAGCATCTCTAACTCCAGAGTCTGGGCTCTTTCTCAATGCCGTGTTATCTCTTGTGTAAAAATAATGTCTTACTCACCACCAGGCCAGTCAGCAGCAAATGGCACTGGGTGCTCTGCTCTGGGGAGCGGGGAGATCCTTTTCACAAGAGTCTAAGTGAAACTGGGGCTAGCTCAACCCATACCCTGCTCTATTCCAGAAACTCTCTAGCCTGCCAAGTTAGGGTTACCAAGGCAAAGACTGGTCCATGACCAAAGAGTGTCACAATCTACCCTGGTGGGGTAAAAGTCATTCTGGATCTCCCCGCCTTCTTAGAGTTTGCAATTGTCATCTTTAGTATGGCTCTTAGAATTATTGCTCTGGTAAGGGCAAGCTTTTGCTTATTTTATGTGTGTACATTTCACCATTTTTCACACTGCAAGTTATTTGAGCACTTTTTGGTACTTTCGTCTCTTAGATTTGTAGTAGTATTGAAACTAGCTAACAGTGTTGAGCACTTACTATAGGCCAGTCACTCTTTTATACAAAGGAACTCATTTCATTCTCTCAACAACCCTGATATTTTTGCGATTTTACAGATAGGCAATCTGTCCCAGAGAGGGCAAATAACTTATCAAAGTCACATAATTGTCAAGTGGCAGAACTGTGCTATGAACTCAGGCCGCTTGGCTCTAGCGGTCTCACGTTTAACTACTCCCCCGTACACATGTTAGTCGCAAAGATGCAGTCTCCTTGAAAAGTCGATCTGGGAAGTTAGTGGTCTATTTCAGTTTGTGCCCATGGCATGGAAAGTCTAACAGTTGTGTGAGGCATCAAGACATGGTGGGGGAGGCTGGGTGTGGTGGCTCACGCCTGTAATGGCAGCACTCTGGGAGGTTGAGATAAGTGGATCACTTGAGGTCAGGAACTTGAGACCAGCCTGGCCAACATGGCGAAACCCCATCTCTACTAAAATTGCAAAAATGAGCCAGGTGCGGTGCCTGTCTGTAGTCCCAGATACTAGGGAGGCTGAGGCAGGAGAATCACTTGAGCCCGGGAGGCAGAGGTTGCAGTGAGCTGAGATTGCGCCATTGCACTCCAGCCTGGGTGACAGAGCGAGACTCTGTCTCAAAAAAAAAAAAAAAAAAAAAAAAAAAAGACATGGTGCGGGGAGGTACTGTGGTATATGGGGATAAACATTAGATATAAAACCTGAAGCCGTGCATCTGCTTCTTGGCCATGTTGCCTATGAGCCTTAGACCTTGGGCAAGCCAATTAAACTTCCCAAGCCTCATTTTTCTCACTTGTCAAATGGGATTAAGATGCTCTACCACAGAGGGTTGTTGTGAGGAACCAATGAAAATATGAATATTAAAGTGGCTTGTGAGCCGGGAAACACTACCTGCATTTAAAATAATGAAGTTGGCCGGGCGCGGTGGCTCAAGCCTGTAATCCCAGCACTTTGGGAGGCCGAGATGGGCGGATCACGAGGTCAGGAGATCGAGACCATCCTGGCTAACACGGTGAAACCCCGTCTCTACTAAGAAATACAAAAAATAGCCGGGCGAGGTGGCAGCGCCTGTAGTCCCAGCTACTCGGGAGGCTGAGGCCGGAGAATGGCGTGAACCCGGGAGGCGGAGCTTGCAGTGAGCTGAGATCCGGCCACTGCACTCCAGCCCGGGCTACAGAGCGAGACTCCGTCTCAAAAAGATAAAAAATAAAAAAAAAATAAAATAATGAAGTTATCATTGTTGTTATCCTTAAGAGTACAGGATGGAGACGATAGGGAATGACACAGTAATCATAAGAGAGGCAGGGGCTACCCAGGCCTGTTAACAGGAGGGCCATTCCCTCACATCCTCTCTGCCAGCTCCTTGATGTTGGCAGCACTAATGTCTGGTGCCTGCTCATCCCATGACCCAGACTTAGAGCCCATTCCCCTGATTCTAGCAGTCAGGATGCCTAGTTGCAAACAATAGCCACTTTAAGCTGGAAAGGAATTTATTAAAAAATAATGAGGATTAGGTAGTATTCTGGGGAGGAATAGAGAGCAACGACTAATGACCAGCCACAGCATGAGAACTTCTCCGCCTTCCATGCCTGCAGAAGTCTGAGTCTCCTGTGCACGTTGCTCACTTCTAAATTCAGGTCTTGCACAGGTGAGTCTGACCGGTGGAACCGAGGTCAGTATCTGTGCCCTGGCTGCAGGGGTTTTCCGGCTTCTACCTTGGCAAGAGAGGACTTAGGAGAAATGATCAGAATGTAAAAGTGGGTTTTCAAAGATTTGGGTGGCCACAGATGACAAATTATCTGCCATACTGGTCTAGTTCCCAGCATGCTGGCCCCTCAGAGTGATTTCAGGTAACAGCATGAGAGGAATCCACCCGAGTGCTTCTGGCCCATTCATGGGGAGCCCAGAGAACGATGTGCTTTGCCTCTACATCTGGGTGGTGTCGCAGGATGGCTCCTGCTCCCTCGGACTTAAGGGACAGGCTGTAGTGCTGCTGCATGTGCAGACAAGTGTACTGGGGTGCCAGCATGCAGGGTGGGGACGTTCCTGTGAGACTGGACCGTGGGGAAGGGTGTGACAGTTGGCTACTGCTCGGAGCTGGCCTGTTGCTGGCTTCAGCCTTTGCTGTCACCTTTCCTGTCACCATTTCAGTGTCTACAGGCTCTAAGCTAGAAGCTGACACATACCCAGAATGGCCACCATTTGTGCAAGAAAGGAGTGCTCTTTTGTCACAGAAATGAAGACCCCATCGGGAACACACCGTAGGGGACTGACGATTACAGGTGCGCTGCAGGCAGGATGTCAGAGAGGAGAGCGGGCCTAACAAAAGCATGCGTTTATGTCTAATAGGATGAGTTGGTATGAAACAACTGGTGGGTGTCAGCATCATCTTACTGCCCCCAGCCTGGAAAGAAAGAGATAAACATGGGTTTCTAAAAGCTCTTCAAGGGGAGATTTTGCTCCATCATCTCAGAGGGGTGGAGGAGAGAGGAAGGTCTATAAGGGTAGAGAATGAAGCTGCAGACTCTGGGTGGGGTGCGGGAGTCTCCAACTGAAAGGATGGGGGTCTGGGGCTCCCAAAAGATGAGGACCTGTGCTCAGCATACTCCCTGGGGTGGGTGGAGCCTCAGAGGGATGAGTCCTGTGATACCCTTATGGCATCTTGGCGTGCAGGATGTACATGGATGTACACCAGGGCTCCCAGTGGCAAGACCCTTCTCAGGCTGTCTCAGTATTAAAGTAACTGCTGTCTGACTTTACCGGCTAGAGGAGCAGGATTGGGAACACAGTGTCGAGGTGGATTGAAGACCAGAGCCCTAGGAAAGATTCCAAGGCTCTGGAGTATCTCTAAGGACGTGAAGGCCCTACCAAAACAAAATTCAAGGTAGGGACTTGGAACCACGTTGCCTGGCTCAGAGGAATAAAGAATTGGGATAGCTCTAGTTTGCTAGGCCTACTGTAACACAGAATCATAAACCAAGTGGCTTAAACAATGGAAATCTACTGTCTCACGGATCTGGAGGCTAGAAGCCAGACACAGAGGTGTCTGCAGGTCTAGGCTCCCTCTGAAGGCAGTAGGGATCTGTTCCAGGCCTCTCTCCCAGCTTTGGTAGTTCCTTGGCTTGTGGCAGCATAACTCCAGTCTTCACAAGGTGTTCTCCCTGAATGCACGTCTCTGTGTACAAATTTCTCCTTTTTACTTGTATATAAACACGCGTGTGTGTATATATATAATATGTAATAATATGTAATATATATATTTTTTAGATGTAATCTTGCTCTGACACCCAGGCTGGAGTGCACTGGCACAATCCCTGCTTACTGCAACCTCTGCCTCCTGGGTTCAAGCAATTCTCCTGCCTCAGCCTCCTGAGTAGCTGGGATTATAGGCATGCACCACCACACCAGCTAATTTTTAGTAGAGATGGGGTTTCACCATGTTGGCCAGGCTGGTCTCGAACTCCTGACCTCAGGTGATGCACCTGCCTCGGTCTCCCAAAGTACTGGGATTACAGGTGTGAGTCACTGCCCCTGGCCAATTTCCCCTTTTCATAGGAACACCAGTCATAATGGATGAGGAGTTCACCCTTATCTTAATTAACATCTGCAAGAATGTTATTGCCAAATAAGGGCACACTCTCATGTACCAGGGGTTAGGACTTCAACGTATAAATTTTGGGGGATACAATTCAACCCTCAACAGCTGGGCTTCCCATTCTGGGTTTTGGGGCACACTTCACATGCTCTGCCTAGGCACAGCTGATTCCCACCCTAGGAATTCCCACCCTGGGACTCACCCTGTGAGACCTAGGAGGACAGCACATCTCTTTCAGTTAAAACTTTTGTCTGTGGTTTGGAGAGTCACCTTCAATACATGGATAATGATGCCCAAACCTGTCGGCAGCCTGCTTTCCAGCTGTGATCATGGCAGGTAAGGAGCCTCCCTGAGTCTCCACTGTCCTCTGCTGACCAAATGAGAATCATAACAGCTCCTCTTATTATTATGCCTGAGACAAGGCAGTCAGTCTGGAGAGGGCCTACCTAGCTAGCACAGGGCTGTGAGCACACACAAGACAATGTGGGCGTCCAACAGATCCTAGCTCCCTTCCCCTTGGAAGGCTATGCACACAGAAAATCTTTCCTTGGGTTGAGCTGAGGTCTAGATGAGGCCAGGGGTCAGACAGGGTAAAGTACCAAGGTCACAGGGCTGTATGGGCATGGTACTGTGTAGAAGTTCAGTTTTATTGATCTCAGGATAGGGGCCGATTGGGGTCCAGAAGCTCCTTCGAAAGACCTTTTGCCCTTGGAAAATGAGATGTGACCTCAGGGATGGGGGGAGAAGGGAGAGGAAATGTGGAAACGAAGCCATAAAATCTTAGAGGTGGAGAGAACTTTGGAACACCACTGTTGCAGGCCCCTCTTGCTACAGTTGGGGAAGCTGAGGCTGGAGGAGGGGGAGGTACTGTGTCAAGGTCAAACGTTGGGTGGTGCCGGGCGACAGAAGCCAGGACTTTGAGGGGCAAGGCTGTAGTGGAACTGAAAGGGGAGGTGGTGGGTGCTTCCAGGGGTCTGTGAGCTCCTTTCCCAAGACTGGAGGGGCCTGTGTCTGCGGAGGGGGGTGGCTTCCTGGGCTCTGGAGGGGAGGGGAGGTTAAAAGCAGGGTGGGGGAGCGAATCTGGGGGATTGTGGGAATTTCGGGCCGCGCCCCCGCCCCCAGCCATGCGTGGGGCGCCTGGAGAAGGGGCGCGCGGGCAGGTGGGGTGCTGCGGGGCCCGCGCGTGGGGGCCGCGCCGGCCGGGGCGGGGTGAGTCACGGCCCGCCCGCTCCCATTGTGCGGCCCGGCGGCGGCGGCGGTGGAGGTGCGGAGCGGAGCGCGAGGAGGTGGAGCCGCGGGCTGCGGGCTCCGGCGCCTGCGTCCGCCCGGCCAGCCCGGCTCTGCGTTGCGAGGGGCCGGACGCGAGTCGCGGCTGCGCTCCAGAGCGAGCGCGGGGGACATGGGGCGCGGCGGCCCGCCTGGGCCTCGCAGGCTCCGGAGCCCCGAGGTACCGCGGGGCGGAGCGCGCCGGGCAGGGCGGGGGACCCGGGCTGTCCCGGGCGTGGATGGGCCTCGGAGGGGCGCTTGGGCCGGGAGCGTGGATCCGGCTCCCGGGTGGGGGGCGCCAACGCAAGGAACCTGACCCCGCCCTCCTCCCCCAGGGCTCCCCGCTAGGCCCCCTCAGTGGCCCCTCCTTCTCACCCGGGTCTCGGGTCCCTTAGTGAGTGAGAGCATCCCCAGCCGCCTACCCGGCCATGGCCAACGGAGTGATCCCGCCGCCCGGGGGCGCCTCCCCCCTACCCCAGGTGACCGGCGTGCGCGGGGGCGGGGGAGAGATGGGGGAGGAGAGGGGAGGGGCCTTAGGGTGGGCTGAGGCGTCCTCTGGCAGACCCACGGACCCACCCCACCCCCAGATCCAGGGATGAGCTGGGCTGGGGGTTATGGAGAAAGAGGGGGGCTTTTGGTATTTTCCAGATCGGTAGCCCTCTCTCTTTACAAGCTCTGGGAGCCCAGAGAGGGTGGTTTCTGGGATGCTGACACAGGTCTGGGAGCAAGGGGAGGGGGCCCGATGGTGCGAGAGCCTGCTGAGGTCCCCCAACTAGGGCTTGGAGTTGGGGTGGGTGTGGGGCCTTCATGGGTCAGGGGTCCTTAGCAGAGGCTGTCTGGGCCTGCAGGTTCGGGTGCCCTTGGAGGAGCCCCCTCTAAGTCCAGACGTGGAGGAGGAGGACGATGACTTGGGGAAGACCTTGGCTGTGAGCAGGTTTGGGGACCTCATCAGCAAGCCCCCGGCCTGGGACCCTGAGAAGCCCAGCCGCAGCTACAGCGAGCGGGACTTTGAGTGTGGGTAGCCTGGGGACCCCTAGTGCGGCCGCCCTCGCCACCATCACCTTCATCGCCACCATCACCGCGCTCACCTCCGGCTTGGTCACCCAGTGCCATCCTGTGCCGGACACTGTGCTGGACTCTGTGCTGGGCCACATGCCGTGTTCAGTCATCCTGCCTCCCCCACCCATCGCCTATCCGCCTGCCAGGGGAGGTGGGCCCCAGACCAGGGGAGATCTAGGGAGTCGGGCCTGGGCCCTTCCACGGTGACCTTCCTCTTCCCCTTCAGCCCCACTCACTCCCTCCTTGTCCCACCTCGACTCCTCCAACTCTGCCTTTCCCCTCCTTGCTGTATCACATCTCCCCTCCCAGCCCCCTTCATGACCTTCCCTGTCCATCCACCCTCTCCTCCCACTCCACCAGACCTCATCAATGACAGGCACGTGGACACAGGTGTTGGGGGGTCATGGCCCTGGAGGAAGGACTAGGGTTCCCCTGTTTGCGGCCTTGAGCTGGAAAGTGTGTGCCCTCGGGTGGGGAGGGCCCCCGTTTCTGCTGTGGGGGCCTCAACTGGATCTCCTGCACCCCCAGTTCACCGGCACACATCCCACCACACCCACCACCCGCTCTCAGCGCGCCTGCCTCCACCCCACAAGCTGCGGCGGCTGCCCCCCACCTCTGACCGGCACACCAGGAGGAAGAGGAAGAAGGAGAAAACCTCTGCTCCCCCCTCCGAGGGGACCCCTCCCATCCAGGAGGAGGGGGGAGCTGGAGTGGATGAGGAAGAGGAGGAAGAGGAGGAAGAGGAAGGAGAATCTGAGGCAGAACCTGTGGAGCCCCCACCCTCAGGGACCCCACAGAAGGCAAAGGTAGGGGCTTCCCTTTGGAGGGGTGGCAGGTCAGGGGTGCAGAGAGGAGGGGAGGAGCCCATGTTGGGGCTTGTGTGAGGCTGGGTAGGGTTGGGGGCTGCATGGTGGGTTGGGGCAGGGCCCCAGGGCATATTCTGTGTCTGCAGTTCTCCATTGGAAGTGACGAGGATGACAGTCCAGGCCTCCCTGGGAGGGCTGCTGTCACCAAGCCCCTGCCCTCGGTGGGCCCACGCACTGACAAGAGCCCCCAGCACTCCAGCAGGTACTGGCTGCAGCCTCTACTCAGCAGGGCCCAGCCCAGAGCCGCAGGGTCCCGAGCTCCTGGCAGTCACCTCCTTCCTGACCCTGGGGAGTGTCCCCAGCTCTGACCCTGAGAGAAGAGAAGCAGGGTATGGGAGGGGGTTGGGGATCCTTCTCTGTCCTCGTGATTTACAAGGATGAGAGAACAAGGGGAGAGAAAAAAAGAAGAGCAGAGTGAAGAGGTTAGGAGTTCCCCGGGAGAGAGTGACAGAGTAGAGAGGATGAGGAGAAAGGTGGATGAAAGGGGGAGCCATGGGATGGGAAGGGGGGCCTGGGTTAGCGTCCTTTCTGCCCAGGAGGGGCCTGGGTCTCATGCTCAGGGTCTACTCCAGGCCCTGCTCTGAGCTGAGGGACGGTGACGGAACCACCGACCTGGCCCTGTCAAGTCCAAGGCTGCTGTGTTGCCTCCCCAGCTCCCCCAGCCCCCGGGCCCGGGCCTCCCGAATCGCTGGGGAGAAAAGCCGGCCCTGGAGCCCATCGGCCAGTTATGACCTTCGGGAGCGACTGTGCCCAGGCAGTGCCCTGGGCAACCCGGGTGGTCCAGAGCAGCAGGTGCCCACAGATGAGGCGGAGGCCCAGATGCTGGGTTCTGCAGACCTGGACGACATGAAGAGTGAGTGAGACCTTGTGGCAGCCCCCATGGTCCACTGCGACGGACTCCCGGCCTCCGAGTGACCTTGGAGAGGCTCTGAGCTGTCCTCCACTCAGGGCTGAGTCCTCTCTGAATCCCTGTCTGCTGGGATGTGGCCAGTGATGGGGAACTCACTACCTCACCCAGCCACCCTCTCTGATGGCCAGAGCTGAGATTTCCTTTCCTGACACTTCACACCTCAGTCCTGATTCTGTCCTCTGAGTCACCCCTAGAAAAAGGCAGCTCTCTTTTTCACATCATTGTATCCCTCCCCAAGGCCCCTCTTCTCAGGGTGAACTCTTTGTCTCCTAGCTCTTTGATCGCCTCCAAACCCAGGCCCTGAGTCTGAGCCATTGCTCTGGACCCCTGCCTCTCCCTGTGGCAGGACCCCTCACTCCCATCCCACTACCCTTGGCTGGGCCTGGCTGTGATCTCGGCACATTCCTTCCATCTTATCAGTGCCCTGGTTTCTGTGCCACCTGTCATCACCCATGGGGCTCTGTGCCCAGGCCAGGGGCATCACTGATCCCTCCTCCTCCTCGGAGCCACAGTGTGTGGGCGGGGTGGGGGGAAGGGTAGGGCTTTAAGCTCAATACGTCATGGAAAGTTGCCAGGGCCTGAGGACAGGGACGGGAACAATCCGATGGCAGCAGTAGCAGCGGGATGGGGCGGGGGAAGGGCGTGTTTACAGACCCAGGGTGGGGGCTGGATGCCGCCAGGAGTAGGCTTGTGGACGTGGGGAGTTGGGGTCGGGAGGCTGTGCCACCTTCAGCTCTGGTTGGACAGAAGCCACGCTGTCCAGGCTGCCACCTTGTAGGAGAGCCAAGGGGTCTGGCAGGGAGCGGGGGCCGAGGTTTCGGTCACCAGGAGAATGACAAGCCCACTGGAGGAGGACCCTGAGCCCAATGGGGCACTGAGCCCTGGGTCTGGGTACTCCAATAGCCAGGGCTTTGGGAGGGATCCAGCCCCCAGTCCTCGAGACTCACTGGCCTCAGAAGACTTAGAGATGTTTGTGCTGGACTTTGAGGATGGTGGCCTGTGGGAGTCCATCAGGGGCCAGCTGGGCCCCATGGCACGGCCACCAACTTGTGAGTAACGGGGCTGCTGGCCTTTCCCTGACTGCTGCTGGCCTGGGTGGGGCAGGCAGGAGGAAGGGAGCGAAGCCCTGCCTGAGTCTGCTGGGCTGTGTACCTTCGGGGAGGGGACATGGGTGTTGAGAGAGAGAGAGGGTGCATGGGAAGTGTTGGGGGCTCAGTGCCCTGGGACTCTGACTCAGTGCCAGTCATGGGACCCAGACAGAGAGGGAGGGGCAGTGGCCGTGGCAGGGGCTGGAGGGTCTGGCTGGGGCTGTGGACTGAGCTGGGTCTACCTTTGGATTGCACCTTGGCCGGTGGTCCCAGGTGACCATGGGGAGGTCCTTCCCTCTTTCTGAGCTTCAGTCTTCTTATCAATGAAATGGCCACATGGGATTATGTGGTTCCCTTCGGCATGGCCTGTAGGTGACTATAGAGCTCACTAAGTAGATGGGTTGGGCAGAAGGAGCTGGGCCGTGACCCCGAGGCCCCCAGCTGGACCTGTGGGACCCCTAAGCCCATCTTCTCTGCAGGTCACCGACTGGAGGACAACCCTGGTGTGCGGCGACACTTAGTGAAAAAGCCGTCCGGACACAGGGCGGGAGGGGCAGTCCCAGTGGCCTGGCCCCCATCCTTCGCAGGAAGAAGAAGAAGAAAAGCTGGACCGGAGGCCTCATGAGGTCAGAATGCTGAGTGGGTAGGCCTGTGGCTTCCTCATGTCCCTCGGCCCTGGAGCCCTCCTCTCCTTGCCCCCCTGCCTTGCCCCGTTACCATGTTCCCACACCTATTGGTCCCCAGGCCCTCACCTGTGGCACGTCCCCCAGGTGTTCGTGGAGCTGAACGAGCTGATGCTGGACCGCAGCCAGGAGCCCCACTGGCGGGAGACGGCCGCTGGATCAAGTTTGAGGAGGATGTGGAGGAGGAGACAGAGCGCTGGGGGAAGCCCCACGTTGCCTCGCTCTCCTTCCGTAGCCTTCTGG